CAACATGGTCACCATTAAGAGGACATGTCTGCTCGTGTATTCCCATTGAGTTTTAGTCTTGGAAGGGGGTTTGTTATCTTTTAATTCAATTTTTCCATGTACTTATTGAAGCCCCTTCATGTATCACTGTACTTGCCAACTCAACATTTTCCAGAGGTACAATTTAGTGATCTCAGTGGCATTATTCATGTTGTGCTACCAATATTCATAATCGCTGCCAAATTTTGCATCACCATAAACCCACACCTACTACTTCCTAACGAGGGCTTCCCCCTTCCCACCCCATCCCACCCCTGGAAGCACTTTGGTCTCTGGATATCTGCCTATTCTTGTTAGGAGCTATCTCTGTAACAAGCTTTTACATAAGTAGAATCATTTGGACAAGTAATTTGCATCTTCTTGGGAGCCAATGCATGTTACAGGGGACAATGTGATTGGGCAGCCAGTTACCACAGAGACTTTGTTCCTGTTAATTGCTCGGTTCCACATCATGCTCTGTTTTCAAACCTCAGTGTGTAAAGCTCTTGTTTTCCACCCTAATCAGCTGTTTTGTACCCTTCCCAAACCACCTTTCGTGGGATGTTGTTGTTGTTAAGATTCTGATCCATAGTGACCTGTATAGGGTTTCCTAGGAGCAGCTGGTGAGCTTGAACTGCCAACCTTATGGTTCAAAGAGACTTTGTAGTCCAGCACATTCTTATGGTAGAATGTGTCTGTTTTCAGTTCTTGTAGCCCATCTGTGGGCTGAACCCATCAAGATTTTTAAGTACAAAAGAAACACACAAATGAAAATAAAATCAGCCCTCCCCTCAAAACTCTACAAATCCAACCTTAATTTTTCCCTCCATGATTCCCTTCCTTGTGCCCCCCCACCCCTATACATTTAAGTTCTTGGCTGAAATCACTGTGTGCCTTCCATTTAGGGTAGGGGTTGCCCCAGTTCCATTTGCTGGGACTGAGTAAACAGAAGGAATAAGACTTCAGTCCATTAGTAACTCACACAAAAAACACACATTTATTAAGTGTTTGCTGTATACCCTATGTGCTCTCAGGGCAGGGGGACAATACAGGTTACTTCCTACATTCATGGAACTTGTCAACTAACTGCCAACTTGCCAGCTGGCTACAGAGGATGAGCAGACATACAGAATGCACGGAGCAGGTAAGTGGTAAGGAGCACTCCACTTTACAGAGATCAAGGAAAGCCTGAATAGTCAGGGTACCCTTGACAAAGTGAGAAAAGAAAAGAAAGACCGAGACTTAGTGAGTATTAACTGAGTTTATTGCCAGTAATGCAGGGAAACCCTAAGCCAGTACAAAAGGATTTGGCTCTGAGGGATGACACCTTCAGATTAACAGTGAAAGAATAATTTGGAGACTCTACTGGTAGCGTAGTGGTTAGAAATCAGGCTGCGAACCGCAGGGTCAGCAGTTTGAAACTACCAGCTATTCCACGGGACAAAGATGAGGCTTTCTGCCCTTGTAAATATTTACAGCCTCAGAAACCCTGTGCAGGATTGCTATGAGTCAGAACTGACTCCATGGCACATAACAACAACCTGGTAGCGAGTGATTATGAGTTGGGCTGCTGATCTCAAGGTCAGCAGTTTGAAGCAACCAGCTGTTCTACAGGAGAAAGATGAGGCTTTCTGTTCCCTTAAAGATTTACAGCCTCAGAAACAGTACACAGGGTCGCAATGAGTCGGAACCGACTCCACGGCACATAACCAACTAACCAACCAACTACGTGTAGAGCCCACCGCCACCTGTCTGTCCGTTGTTGCACAGTGGTGGCTTGCATGTGGCTGTAATGCTGGAAGCTATGCCACTGGGATTTCAAATACCAGCAGGATCAGACCTTTTGGCTCTATGATCACACAGTTCTGAGAAAGCCAGACTCTAGCAAATCCAGGAAAGAATGTGAGAAACCACACAATCCTCAACATTCTTCAACGGCAGTGGTTTATAAGCCTTCCTAAAACAAGAGTGCACAGGGATGATGGTTACATAGGGCCATTAGAAAAAGTATCTCTTACATTTTACTGGTTGATTAGTGAGCAAGAAACAGTTCCATTAAGGAAGGTGAGGACCACTTGGAATTTATATTGGTTTCTGGTAGTCATTCTCGTCCTACCGAGGGCAGAGATAGATTGACTCACTGGAAGAGTATCCTTGGGAAGGTGGGGGACGAAAACCAATGTGTAGTGCTGTTTTCTCTAAATCCCAAGGCTTTCATAATATACTCGGCTTATTGAGCACAGTCTTAATTGGTTTGGCCAGAGTTGTAGCTAAGCACATAGTCCGCCTCAGAAAGCCACCGTCTGTGTGAACACGTCAGGCTGTAGGAGTGCTAAGGTGTCTGGGTTGAGCTGGAACTGAGTTTTGTGATGTGTCTCTGAAAGGCCAGTTTTGAATCTCACTGCAAAGTATTTAACATCTATTGAAATGTTCATTGAATCATTTATCCTGTGACTCCTTACATGCCAGCTGGGACCATCCCCAGCCAATCAATGGTGTTTGAGTGAGAAGCTCTAGCCCTGCTCCCACCCCATCCCAGCCCCTGTGATTTTGCATTCATGCTGGGTTTCTGTTTATCTATTTACAGGCCTTCAAAGATTCTGTGAAGATATAGAGATGATGATTGGATTCCAGCCAAATATTTTCTGGAAAGTCTGCTGGGCGTTTGTAACCCCAACCATTTTAACCGTGAGGACTATACACTTTAGTGTGCAGATTCAACCTTGCATGTTATGTGTGGTGTGCTCTGTTTGAACAAGCTTTGTGCCTGTGTGTGAGCCTCCGAAGATGATGCGATGGGCATTATTCTTATCTTTCACATGAACAAAACTGAGGTTCAGAGAGGCAACATGCTCAGCTGGTCCAATGCAGAACTAGAACTCAGGCACAGGGCTTTGGGAAATCCCTGTGGCTTATTTCCTACTAGCTTAGGCTGCCTCATATGTGTATGGTGGTGGTGATGGTTCTAGTTATATGCTGTTGAGTCAGTTCCAACCCATAGCAACCCCGTATAAGGTTTCCGAGGCTGTAAATCTTTATCTTTCTCCTGAGGGCATCTGGTAGATTAGAACAGCTGACCTTGAGGTTAGCTGTCTAACACATAACAACTGCGCTACCAGGGCTCTTTTTCATATGCCTCTGCTGTTGTTGTTGTTGTTAAGTGCTGTCGAGTTGGTTCCTACTTATAGCAACCCTGTATAGGGTTTCCAAGGAGCAGCTAGTGATTTTGAACTGCTGACTTTGCAGTTCAAACTGACACTGCGGTCCAGTGCTAATCCTTCAGCGCTACACCAGGACCAGAACCAGACAGCAGATACCAGTCACAGCTAATATTCACCACATCCAAGCCATGTTCTAGACTCTGCTCAAAATGCTTGCTTTTGGTGTCAGACCTCATTTCTCCCTCCAGCACTTCTGTGAGGTTGACAAATGAGGAAACCAAAGCTTCATGTAACCTGCCCAGAATTATACACCCAATAATTAGCACAGCCTGAATTCTTATCTAGGAAGTCTAGCTTCAGAACCCTTCACTTCTATGGAATTGGGCCACTCTACAATGAATGTAGAACTCATTAGACTTTTATTGGTGGTTTTATTGTCATCGTCAAGTGTGATGATGGCATTTGAGATCATCTGACGTTCATCTTTCTAAAGATCAGAGCCTTTCATGAGTCAGTAAATCAGCACAGGGATTTAATTCACATCCAAACCCCTTCTTTAATTTGTTATAGACTGAAGCTTTATCTCATTCCATCCCCATTTACAGACTTAGCCACCTTAGCTTGGTTTGTGTGGGTGTCAGCTCTGCAAGACCGCAGGAAGATTGTATTACCTCCTTCAGCCAGTAAGTGGTGCTAGAAAACCAGATTAAGACCCTTGTTTTACTTAAGGAACGCTCCAGCTTCTTTAAAGGAAAACAGGATAGGATGAGGGTAAACGCATGAAAAAAGTTTTTTTTTTCTTCCTTTACTGCCACAGAACTGAGTTTTAATCAAAGGACCTTTATATTTTTGCTGAAAAGCTAGGGACTTCGAGAAAATGTTGGGCATATTTGTCTCTATATATGAACCTGGGTAATGTCAGTCCTAAGGAACTCTGGTAGTGTAGTGATTATGAATTGGGCAGTGAACCTTAAGGTCAGCAGTTCAAAACTACCAGCCGCTCCGTGGGAGAAAGATGAGGCTTTCTGCTCCCGTAAAGATTTACAGCCTTGGAAACCCTGTATAGGGTCGCAATGTCAGCCCTAAGGTCAATAGCTGTACCCCTATTTTAGAGGCTAAACTTTTTTGGAAAACTTCCACCAATTTTAGTGTCTTGGAATTGAAAAGGATGAAGGTTTTCTGTCTCCTGAATTCAGGACCAAATGTTGTGTGAACTGGCATTTACCTAATTGGTGGGGAGAAGACGTCTGTGAGCATCTTCTGCTGAGACAATCCCATCTTTGGTGTTTCCCAGTTCACCTGAGCTTTACTGTTTTCCTGAGTTGCTACCAGGAAAACAAAACCCAAGAAAAATAGTCACCACCGAAAACCAAATTGTCGTAGAGTACATTCTGACTCATGGCAACTCTATGTGTGTCAGAGGGTTTCCAGTGGCTGTATTTTGGGAAGTGATCACCAGGTTTTTCTTCTGATGCACATCTGGGTGGACATGAACTTCCACAGCTGAGCACGTTAACCATTTATTCCTTTAAGAGACTCCCACATGCGATCGCTTCTTGGCTTAGAATCTATTCTAGATTCTGCCTGCAGTTTCCTCTATCCTAGGAGTTATTAAGCTTCAGAGAATTTTATTATATTTTGCAGACATAATAACAATTAGCACTACTATCTGTTGAAATCTATTAGGAGCCAGGCACTTTATGAACATTGTCTCTGAATCTGTGACCACCCTGCCTGGCAGATGGTAGTGAACCGCACTGCCATCTGGAGAGGTAAAGGAACTTGCTGAAGGCCACAGACTCACAGGTGGCAGGGCCAGGAATTGAATCCAGAGCTGTCTAAGCTGAAAGCCTGCTCTCCAATAAATCCTCGTGCTATCATCTCAAGTGGAATGTAATCAGTTTGGAATGAAAATAATCTTAACCCTTGGTGGTGCAGTGATTGAGCACTCACCAGTGCACTGTGGGAAAAAGATGTGGCATCCTGCCTCAGTAAAGATTGGTGGTGTGGTGGTGGTTATGTGCTGTGGAATTGGTTCTGACTCATAGCGACCCTGCATAGGGTGTCCAAGGCTGTAAATCATTACAGGAACAGAAAGCTTCATAGTTCTTTCACAGAAAGACTGGTGGTTTTGAACTGCTGACCTTGCAATTAACAGCCCTGACTCATAACCGCTATGCTACAGTAAAGATTACAGCCTTGGGCACCCTGTGGGGCTATGAGTTAGAACTGATTTGATGGCAATGGGATTTTCTGGGCGTCTTCTTGGGTAGACTATCAGGATTGTAGGGATTTACTGTGGGTTTTTTTTTTTTTTTTGAGAAAGTCACTTAACTCTTCTGTTCTTTACTTGATTCCCATTCTAAAACTCACATCAGAAACCCATGGAAAAGCCACAGGAAGTATCCTGGACCAAATTTCTCTGCCCTCTTTTGGAGCTAAGGTGAATCAAGTGCTCAATTCCACCATCATTGTTAGCAGTTGAGTCTCTGTCCAGGGCCACAAACACAGGCCAGGATGGACCTGAATAAGGGCTTAAAGACCATGCTTTATGACCAGGCCCGTCCAAGGGGAGGAGCTTTATCCACTGTTTGTCAGTAGGCAATTCATGGCACAGATTAGGCTGATGTGGTATTTGTGTAATTGGAAACAGGAGTAAAAGAAGCAAATCCAACACTTTACCCTTTGCTGTTTGTGCTTGTATAAAGTGGATATTTGTGGTTTTCTAGAATGGGCTAAGATTATGGTTTAAATGACTTCAAAGTCTGTGGAATAATATTGATCATGTTTATATGTGCCTTCGTGGATTTATGGAGCCATAAATATTCTCCATGCAATTATTGCATACATAGTCAGATCACGTTACTAAATTATGCACAAACATAAGCAGATGTATTGCTATTTATGTAAGTAAATGAAATGGAGCAACTTTCCATAATTACATTAGGTCATGCTGCCAATAGACTGGTTAATAAAGCTTATAACTCTAGGGGCAAATGTTTAAAAAGAGGCCTAGATTAGGCATATTTTTCCAGAGGAGCCTTTTTTTTTTAAAGCAGTTTTCTTCAGGCACATGTTGCTTAGAATCAATATATTGAATTATTGTTGCAGTGAAATAACCACTTGCCCCCCACACCCTGGGTTTTGCAGTAATAATATATCTGCCTTATATTTGTGTAGTGCTTCATGCTGTTCTAAAACATGTCCACCTATTTATCTTTCCTGACAGATTTTCCTCCAATCATTTTTTGGGCTGTTATTGTACGTTTAAGATAGGATAAAAGCTAAGGGAAGGACTTATGAAATAAATTATTCTAGGCCGGAGTTGCTGTGGATGTGATGAATACAAAGAGCCACATAATTTTCTTAGGAAAATACCCCCAAAGGCTTGGCTAGAACTGTCCCAGGTTAGCTTCTTTAGGTATGTCTGGTTTCCATTCAAAATCCCTGGGTAGTATAAATGATTAGCTTGGCAGCTAATAGAGAGTTTGAAGGTTAGTATTTACCCAGAAGTACCTCAGAAGAAAGACCTGGAAATCTTGTTGTTAGGTATGTTATTGTTGTTAAATGCCATAGAGTCAGTTCCGACTAATAGCAACCCTATATAGAGTTTCTGAGGACTGACTGGTGAGTTTGAACCTCTGGCTTGCAGTTCAAACCGACCTTTTGGTTCAATGTATTATCCTACAGCACCGAACCAGGACTCCATTGTTGGGTATAGTCAGGTTGATTTTGACCCGCTGCTGTTGTTGGTAAGTGCTGTCAAGTTGGTTCTGACTCAGAGAGAGCCTGTCTAGGGTTTCCATTACATCTCAATGTCAAGAAAACAAAAATCCTCACCACTGGACCAACAAACAACATTCTTATCAATGGAGAAAAGATTGAAGTTGTCAAGGATTTCATTTTTCTTGGATCAACTATCAACACTTGCGGAAGCAGCAGTCAAGAGATCAGACGACGTATTGCATTGGGCAAATCTGCTGCACAGGAACTTTTTAAAGTGTTGAAGAGCAGAGATGTCAGCTTGAGGACTAAGATGCGCCTGACTCAGGCCATGGTGTTTTCAATAGACTCATATGGATGCGAAATCTGGACAGTGAATAAGGAAGATCGTAGAAGAATTGATGCCTTTGAGTTGTGGTGTTGGAGGAGAATACTGAAAGTGCTATGGACTGCCAAAAGAACCAATAGATCTGTTTTGGAAGAAGTGCAGCCAGAGTGCTCCTTGGAGCCCAGGATGGCTAAGCTTCGTCTCTCCTACTTTGGACATATTGTCCGGAGGAAACAGTCGCTGGAGAAGGATGTCATGCTGGGTAGGGTGGAGGGTCAGAGAAAAAGAGGAAGACCCCTAATGAGATGGATTGGCCAGGTGGCATCATTGATGGACTCAAGTGTGGCAGCGGTAGTGAGGTTGGCCCAGGATCAGACATTGTTTCGTTCTGCTGTGCATTGGGGTCACTATGAGTTGGTTCTGACTCGATGGCACCTGACAACAACAACAACAACAACAACAACTAGGGTTTCCAAGGACAGCTGGTGGGTTTGAACTGCCGGCCTTGGTAAACAGTGTTTACCCTACAGTGCTTATCTTACAGTAACACACAGGACTCCCATTTGGACTCATAGTGACCCCATATACAACAGAACAAAACACGGGTATATTTGAGCCTATTGTTGAGCCACTGTGTCAAGCATCTGGTTGAAGGTCTTCCTCTTTTTTGCTGACCTTTTCCTTTACCAAGGACTGGTCCCTGCTGATAACATATCCAAATACATGAGACAAAATCTCACTATCCTCATTTCTAATGGGTAATTCCCTTAAATGTGAGGGGTGGCTTTCCATTGAATACCAGGCTGTTGTTCTCAGACTTTCCAATTGTGGAGCAGATCCACTTTACAGCAGAAACACCTGAGCTATAAAGTTCCCTTAGCTCTCCAGGCACTTGGCCCACCATTTGGTGCTAATGCCCATGTACTTTGAGCCATTGGTAAGGGGTGAACACACCCACCGTGTCTGCGCCTTGACTTAGTTTAGGACTGAGCTGCAGGCTCTGTTACTACTTGGGGACCTCTGGGTCTTACTCAGCCAACTTCAGAGTCCTCTCCTAGGTATGTCATTCTTCATTCAAGGGGAAATAAAAGTAGATTCTTCACCTTTTAAAAATTAAAATACATAAACTTAATGGGTTTCTTTCTTATAAGCATAGCTTGATTATCTAGTATAGAAAGTGCATATAAGTCCTTTTCACCAAAAAATACCTACCATCCCTCTCCCGCCTCTGCCCATCTGTTTTTTGGCTGAACAACCTTTACATTTGCCTTCTCACCCTGCCTACTCCCTAGACACCAATACCCCTGGTCCAGCTCCCCTGGGATGGCAAACACAGGGCCAGGAATTAACCAAGTTTGTCTTCAGCTATCTATCTCTGGGTGGTACAATAGGTTAAGTTCTTAGCTACTAACCTAAAGGCTGGCAGCTTGAAATCGCTCTGAAGTGCCTCAGAAGAAAGACCTGGCAATCTGCTTCTGAAAAGTCGCATGAAAACCCTATGGGACGCAATTATACTTTAACACACATGAGTCATCATCAACTTGATGGCAACTGGCTCCACTTGTGGGTATGTGTGTGTGTGTGTGTGTGCATGTGTGTGTGTGAGCTTCACCTCTGTGAGCCTCAGTTTCTTCATCTGGAAAATGGGACTAGTGGTATCTTCCATTTAGAGTTGTCTTGGGTGAGACTGAAATGATAGACATTATACTCATAACAGTAGTTCAGTACCTCACTGCTGTAACTCTGTCTCTTTCTTTTCTTCCCAGTTTATCCTCTGCTTTAGCTTCTACCAGTGGGAGCCAATGACCTATGGCTCTTATCGCTACCCCAACTGGTCCATGGTGCTTGGATGGCTAATGCTCGCCTGTTCCGTTATTTGGATCCCAGTTATGTTTGTGATAAAAATGCATCTGGCTCCTGGCAGATTTATTGAGGTAATTCTATCAGCTCCTTTCCCTGGCCAGCCCCCTCCCAAGGGAAGGCCTTGGAAAATTCTGCATAAAAAAAATAACAACAAAAGATTCTGGCTTATTCGATACTTATTTGAGAAGGAGACTCAGTAATTAAGTGATTATACTTGCCACTGTTTCTATTAAATCCACTTTTATTATGCATTATTCCTCTAATGGAGGGGCTTACCAGCCCTCTGGCGAGCTGTTACTGTGCCATTCCTCAGTGTGGTGACTGGTGGAGAATAATGATCCACGGGCCTCCTCTTTCCCTGGAGTTTCCCCTTTTCTCCCTCAGTTTCAGTCCCAGTGTCTGGTTTCTAACTATGAACCAGATTCCACCTTTCCAGATGGCCATCTTCACCTAAGCTTTCTCCCTCCCAAATTCCTTTCTGGAGTTGCAGGTATATTTAAAATTGCTTCCCCTTCTGATGGTGATAGCTGAGGGGTCCAAGTTGATTAGAATGTTACTATTCTCATAGAAAGTACTGAGGGTCACAGGATGGCTCATATGAGGTGACTATTTCTATGTTAGTCAATACTATGCTGGACTCATTCCCCATTTTGAAACCCATTCAGCACTTAACAACAGCTGTCAAGTTTTGTCAGATTCCAGCATGCATTGGAACCACCTGGGGGTGGAGGTGGGGTCTCTAGTTAGACTACAGATGCCAGCTTCTCACTTCCCCACGATCGATCGTGATTCAGGTAAGTTCCTGCCTGTGGAGGGCCTTCTACTTGGTCAGCCTTTTAAGGAGAGGAAGAGGCCTTTGGATCATCCCTGTTGAGGTTCAGAGGGGAGATGGGGATGCGACTAAGACACTTGAGTAAATATCCAACACAAAGACCCACACATAGGGACATGGGGGAGATAGCTTATATTGGGCTAGAGATGGAGCCAGAGTTTGTGAGAAAAGATGTCAAGGAATGCCATACCAAAGCAATATGCCAGTTTTCAGGCTCAGAAAAATCTGTTTATTCACCCACTGAAGTAATTTACCCTGGCCTCACGCATCTGGGGAACAACTCACTTGTACTCCTCACCCACAGATCCAGAAACCACATTCACTCCTTCTAAACTAAAGCTGGTTTATTCTTCTCTACTTTTGTCATCTGAGGGAATTCTCTTCACTGATGAGTCTGCAATATAAATTTATTATGGTTGATTTGGGACACAAAGGTTGCAAACTGATGATTAAGGGGAGATTAAACTAACAGCTATAAGAACCAACTTCACTTTAATAGGTAATAAGCATCTAATTATTCCCTCATATATAGTCAGAAATATGTTTTTGTTCCTTTTTCTTTACAGTGTTCCAGTCAAGATGTGTTTTCCATAAAAAGTTCAGTTGAGGAATTAGAGATATCCCTATTATTTTTAGCTTGCCGGCAAGAACCCATACTGCTGAAACCCAGTTAGAAGTGTGTGTTTTTTGCCAACAGATAATTAAAATCTTTGTGTACTCTTGGCAATGTATTTGTGGGGTTGGCTTCCCTCCCCTATCCCACTCCCCACTCATTTATATACTTTTGGGAATATGCTAAACAAAACCCACTTATTTTGATGTAGCACCCTACTGTTGAGACCACAGAATAAAAAAGTAATTGAGCATATGCACTATGCAGGCTGTGTTTGGTAGCAGAGGGAGAAGCTTGCGGTTCTCTTCATTTGGAGAGGAAAAATGTATAATTAAAATCTGGGCCCTTTATCCTGTATTAATCTTGGGCAAGGCAAACACTGAGCATCAGTACATTGTAGTATTGCTTGAAGGGTGATGTAAATAATTTCAAATGAAGCACAGAAATCTCCTGTTTAAGTCCCTGGCCTACTTAACTAATGGGGCTGATCTCTGTAAATGCTTCTCTTGCTGGGAGACTTCTTGGCTCCAGCAGGGGCTCTGGCCAGTGGGGTTGTGAGCAGTCTGGGGATGGTGGGGCAAGCGACATACCTCTGGTCGGTGACTTGGTGTCTTTGTGACTTCTTTGCAGAGGCTGAAGTTGGTGTGCTCGCCGCAGCCTGATTGGGGCCCATTCTTGGCTCAACACCGTGGGGAACGTTACAAAAACATGATCGACCCTTTGGGGACCTCTTCCCTGGGACTCAAAATGCCAGTGAAGGATTTGGAACTGGGTACCCAGTGCTAGTCTGTTGGTGTGGAACGGCCCAGACTTGATCCTGGTTTTTCTCTCTGCCTCCCCAATTTCTTTTTTCCCCCATCTTCCCCATATTTTCTTTCTCCCCATATTTTGGTTCACATCTGTGCATGAGAGAGGTTACGTAGAAAAGTTGGACATAGTGTCGCATGCTGTGGTGATGCGTCAGGCAGACGGCTTGACTTGCTGAGTGCCTGTGTGCCTGTATCCATTTCTGGTGGAGTGGGTGCCCTGAGCACACATGGTAAAGACGTAGCCACTGTTATCATTGGGTGGTGCTGGCAAGTCGACTCTGACTCATGGTGCCCCCTATGTGTGTCCCATAGGGGTTTCAGTGGCTAGCTTTTTGGAAAGTAAATTGCCAAGCCTTTCTTCCCCGGCATCTCTGGTGAACTCGAACTTCTAACCTATCAGCTGAGTGTATTTCATTGTTTGCACCAAGCAGAGGCTACAAGGCATATATAGAATGGCAGAATTATAAAACTGTCCATTTGGACTGAGCAATATAATGGTTTTATTCAGACTTACAGGGTTCAGGACAGGGAACATTTAGAAGGTCAGCATGATTAGAAAATGTTTTGAATAGAAAACAAAACTAATAGATTGGGACACCCCTGGATGTTCACATTTACATCCATAATTGGAGATCTGTTCCATTCATTTGGACCAACTGTTTCAAGTGTACCAAGGACTTCAGATGTTTCCCTCTCTGCGCTCCAGAACCTGAGTGAAGGTTCACTGGTCTTCCTTCAGCCATCATCTTTATTTTCCGTTTTTTTGAATAATCGTGCTTGTGAATTCTTTTGGTCATTTCCCCACCTTAGCACAAGAAACCATTGTATAATTCGTGCCTAATTTTGTACGTTCATAGTAGAGCTCCATTCTCCTTCCTTCCTACATGATGTTTGGCACCATGGTTCAATGCCACGATCGCATCTTTCTTCACTCATGTCATGTAGATACCTTGTCTTTCCACCTCGGGGAAAACAAGACTTACCTTGACTCTGTCTATATGTTATATATATAGGACACACACTCTTAAAAGACAGACATCTTCTCAATTTTTACTCTTAACTTTTTCAATCACAGTAAATGCCAACTGTGGTCATAGAGGAATCAGCGAAATGGAGAATTTAATAAAAAACAACCATAATATTCACTGCACTGGTAGTACATTTTAGGTCACTGTATTTACAGAAGTTTCTGATAAATACAGCTTAGGTAAGTAGTGAGTGAACCAATTAAGACTATAGCTTTTAAGGCTACATTTAGCCAATTCCATATTAAGAGTTCCCTATTCCCAGTAATCATTGTAAGTGCACTCTAATGAGAGCAAATCGTATGTCTACAGAGATTGGAGAAGCTGTAAGCCTTCTTATCTTCTTGTATCCTGAACATGCATATATGAAAAATTTTTTAATGTGCTATGTGTTCATGTAGTGTGTACTTGTAGTGATGTCTTCTGTCTTCAGAAATAACCTATGAACCACTGAAGCGATGGTGAGTTTAGAATAGTGTCTATAGTCTGAGGTTTTGCTTTGGTGTGGTTTTTTTTCCCTTTACAGTAAACCTAAAATTGTTTCCTCTAGGGAAGACCATTTCAATCATTTTCTTATTTGTTTGTCTTCATATTACAGGGTCTCAGGCAACGTTTTCAGTTCAGATCTTGTCTATTGATGTGACATTTTCATCCCATTCAGCAACAATGAAACCCAACAACAGACCTTAATGTCACATTTAAAATTTAAAAAATGACTTCATTTGTTAAAAAAACAACAAAAAAAAACCCCACCCAGAAGTCTCATCTCATTTTACTAACGCTCCTTTTTCTAGGGCAAATACTGTCACAATTTGCCGACACTGATGGAGACGTCCTGTTGTCAAGAGTAAACTGTGAAAAGTTTTAGGAAAGGAAACCAAGATAGATTTGGAATGTTAAGTGTTCATGTCTTTTGTCTGCAGCGTTCATTTGTCTTTCCTCCTCCTTGTTCTGATTATGTGCCTCCTGAAGCTAAGAAGCTGCTGCCTGTCATAGAGACTGAACCCTGAGCTCCCCTCAGAGTCTTCACTTTAGGAGTTGAGCTGTGGTCTCAGTGTTTCCCATCAGCACCTGTCAGCCATTGCCGCTGGTTTCCCTCAGAAAGCCACATTAATGAAAAGCCCCCATTTCTGTAGCAGTTGTGACAGAGCGGCACCAACAATTAGCGTCTCCCATTAGAATCTGGTGGCTTTCTGCTCCCGTAAAGATTTACAGTCTCGGAAACCCTGTACAGGGTCGCTATGGGTCGGAACCGACTCGAAGGCACTTAACAACAACAACAACAATTAGAATCTGGTGGCTTTCTGCTCCCGTAAAGATTTACAGTCTCGGAAACCCTGTACAGGGTTGCTATGAGTGGGAACCGACTGCATGGCATATAACAACAGCATTAGTATCTGGTGGGGTGGGAGAGGCAGGGAGGAATGACTCACGCCTGAAAATGATCTGCAGCATTTCCAATTTGAAGGTTGAAGAAAAGAACTTAAATCAATTAGCGTTCTCTCACGGGGCTGATATGTTTGTGTTAGGACAAATGGTTTTTGGCTTTCCTCTCTTGCCTCTTGGCTAAAACTCCAGTCTGATGTTGGATGCCAACCCAATTTCTGTTAATTATTGCTATTGTGATTAAAAGGGGAAAAACCCAGCAACTTACGAATGCTGCGTAGTTTGTTTGGTATAAACTGAAAGTTTATTTAACAGTGGGAGGGAGTCCTCTTCACTAGTAGTGTGTTTTTAGCATGGCGGGGCAGCGACATTTCTGTTCATCAGGATTTTTATGGTTAAGGTTCAGTAACTGCTTCAAGTAGCCGATTTTCTTGTACTTGTTGTTATTTTCTCCTTTTGCCTACAGTTTCCAAGTTTTATGTAAAAGTTGCTTAAAGGGTACACTCAGGTGAAGGTACTGAACTTACCTGGAAACTTGTTAGTTTAGTTTCTCCATGTCTAGAGCCATCCTTGTCCACCTTCGAGGCGTTTCTTGGCTGGACCATGTTCATTCATTGGCCGTCCACTCGAGCTGCACCTCCCACAGAACTGACCAGGGTGGAAAGAGTTCAGCTGCATACAACCAGATGGAAGCCTCCACACGATTAAAACGCACAATCAACTAGAAGAAGAAAAATGAATGAATAGAAATAAAATGAGCAGCAATGTTATCAACTGCCACCTAAGAGTTTCCCTCCAAAGAAGACGGAAAAAAACCACAACACAAAAAACCCGAGTTGTTGAGGAGAGACTTTCACTGGTTCATTGTGCAGAAGAGTGGGCCATTTTCCACTTGTGAGATTATTTCAATAGCACCAACAAATGCCAGAAATGCATTCAGAGAAAAAAAAAAGCCATATGTGAAAAACAGTAACCCTGTATTATCCTTAAAGGAGAAAAAACAAATGTATATTTCTTAACAATTGGTGTTGTGGCTTCTTATGTAAATGTTTGTCTTGCAAGTTAGTAGCTTTTAATCTCTTTAGGACTGTGTTTGTCATGTACAAGTGTGTCAAGTTGTGGTCTTTTTTTTTCTTTTTTAAAATTATTTATTGCATGAAATCTATGGTCAATGCACAATCTCAGATGACCTCAACTTCTTTGAAGTTTCTGTGTTTTGAATATGCGCGAAATGTCATCAACTTGTATTTCCGGGAGGAATAGCAGCACTTTAAAAAGAGGAGTTTAACACAGTGACCTTTAAATTGCTAAGGCTTGGTTGTCTTTATGCCAGTGTTTCCTTGGAGTTGCGTTTTAATCTAGTAATGTTCTTGTTCTGTTATCTATTTGTGCCTCAGTGCTTCCTGTCTATCTTTACCTGTCAGCATGGCGTTTCCATGCCTATCATGAAGAGTTTTCTTTCCTTGTTGATTCCTCGTCCTCTGGTCATTGTCCTCTTCCCAGAGACTTGCACAATAACTTTTGCTCATTGAATGAGTGGTGGCAAGATGGTACCACTGTTATTGCTCCTAGATTTGGGTTTGCAACAGTGTCTTTTATTTGAGTGAGGGTTCATTGTCTTGCAGGGACAGACAACGAGCCAAGGTCATCCAATGAGTATTTTCATTGTTCACATGGGGCATCATGCAGGAAGCTTCCAGGCTGAAGCTCAAGGTTTAGGAGACTTAGTTTTGATACGAATTTCTTCAGGATGTAGCAGCCTGAAGATTTGTAGAAGCAAAGCCTCTGATCTTTCCCAGGTTTTGCTCCAACCGTCTAGAGAGGCCAAGTATTTTTGAAATGTGGTTACTGATCACTTCTCTTCTGAGCAACCTGCAGCCAAAGAGAAAGTGGTTGTTTTTTTGTTCTGTTTTATTTTTTTCAGATTTCATATTCTTCACCTCTGAAAAGCAAACAGTTGTTAGATTTGCCTGCCATGGATTAAATACATCTTCAGGTAACCGTTTGCCTTATAGGTGTATTTTATTGTTAGGGTGATACTTAGTAATTGACTAGGAAATGCTTTTGTGGTTTTTGTTTTGTCACTTAAAAAAAAAAAAAAGAAAATCTTTTTTTGCACTTTACTATGGACCTATCATGGAATAGGTTAATTCTTAAATTGTGTACTTTGCTAATGTTGTAAATGCAGGCATCTTATGTGGGTACTGTTGCCTATGAGTAAAGATATGTTCCCAAATCAGGTCCTTATATTTTTTCATTAATGATACATGAAGAAAATATATTATGTTACAAATGATGCATCGTATATATATCTTAGAGAGTACGTATTATATATTGTGCATTATTCATTTAAGAAACCATTGTTCTTGAGGCCCTACCTCAATTTTTGTATTTATGTGTACAAATGCAATTTATTGTATTATATATTTGCCTATTATATACTGATATAAATTAGAATTTATCCTGATAATGTATGAGTTCACAAAACCCTAAATAAATGTCAGTGTTTAAAACATGATGATTACAGTATTTTGTCTGTTACAGACCCATTACTCATCATCTTCCTTTCTTAACAAATGGCCTTCAGGAATCCACAGGATTGATCAAGCTTCTTGTTGGAAAGCTGGATTAGCAATAGAAAACTGCCCTCCTAGGAAAATGAGATACTATGCTGCTGAAGTAAATACCAATTCAGTTGTTATATTCGTATCCATCAGAATACACTATTGT